TTTCATTTCCACCTGGTTCATGTTTAATCCAAAAGCAATGAAATTCACAATTTTGACATAGGCTTATAATAATTAAATACTTAGCATGCTTACTTTGGTTATTTAATATCCAGAGGCAGATCAGAGTAAAATTTCATTTCCACTTTATAACCACCACTTTATTATGAATATGTAATTAGATCAATGACATATTAAACAGGAGCAAAGGAAGAGATTTTCAAGAATTCATGAATCAATAGAGCCTCTCGAGAATTTTTCACTCATATGGAGACGCCACCACTTGCCGGTGGAGGGCTACAAATTTTGTCTTATGCTCGGCACTCAGGGCCTTTGAGCAGTGAGGGATCTTTCTCGTGCCAGCACCTACTGCAACACGGGGCCTCGGTTTATACGGTCTCATCCGAAGGACCGGCTTCCATGTCCCGCAGTGGGATTCGAACCAGCGACGTAAGGATTGACTCCTTACTTCGCGACTCTAGAGCAGCTAGACGCTCTAACCAATGCGCCACGCGGGCGCCGGAAGGTTGGAAGTTATAGATATGTAATGGGTAAGTGAATTAGACAAAAAATGACATGATATATTGATTATCATTACGGAAAAGTTTTAGATCAACCCATTCAAGGAGATTAAATTTCAAATTTTCCAATCTAGATAATTAAAAAAGCATTTTTTCTTATATATGGTAAACATTGATAGCCGTTGATGACACAATTGTTATTTTTCTAATTATTTCTACTTCATTAATCATACTTTGTGTCATGACGTTTCAAATCAAATTGTTTTAAGTTTATTGGTAAACTTTATGATGAAGCTTTATGATAAACGTCATGACTTTATCTTTTCAATCGTCAACTTCCCTTTCTTATTGCTGCAATTTACCCCGATAACCGAGTGCTCATTTCAATAGGAATTTGGTTACGTAACCAGGTTCAAGGAGCCAAGTCATAGTACCCGGTGAAAAAAGAACCACTAATTGAATCCCGTTGTTTAAATAAAAAAATAGGACAAGAATCCCCTGAAAAAAAAACAAATAATCATTGTTGTATATAATATTGATTCCCCGTTTAATTAGTAGCTCAGATAGAGCCAGAGGAAAAGTTTATATATATATATGGGTAATATTAGGACCCTGTATCTCCTGAAAAAGGATCCATATATTAAGTTACACGCTACAATAAGGTAATAACGAACAGATAAACATGGACCTCAAAGCTTCATAGGTGGGATCAGATTCCATGGAGGATTGAGCATTCCCCGCCAACCAGTCACACCTGCTGTGTGATCCTTGTCATTGTCGAGAAATAACGGGAAAATATGTGGCAATCCAGTGTGGAAAATGATGGCCTAACAATTAGAAGGAAGTCCGTCAGCCAGGATTTGACTTAACGATAATTTGTATTTGTCTTATTCAAATATTAGCAAAAATCATTGTAAGGTAACGATCGGGGATGTAAAAAGAATATCCTATTAGTTATATCTACTGAATGAGGATGAAACATGTGATAAAAAGCATTATAACAGATTGGGACCAATCGCCCCAATGGGATATAATAGTCCGTTTGAGATATAATATCAAAAATGGGCTATAAATTTACAGTGCAATTTTTTTTTATTTTGGCAATAGATATCATAAATCTGCATTAGGACACTTAAAAAGGAATAACTTTTGGTTGACAAGTTTTTTTCTGTATGGCAATTGTTTAAGAGATTGATCCCTAGGAAGTTCCTTAACTTTTTGGGGATTTTAAATATGTATAGTTGTAGAAAAACTTGCTTACCCAAAGTTATTTCTTTTTAATTAAGTGATTTGATGCAGATTTATGATATTTATTGCCAAAATAAAAAAAAAACTAATTCTTGCACTGTGAGTTTATATTCCATTAGGGCGATTGGTCCCAATCTGTTTTAATGTACAATCAAAACAATATGGTGACCATCTTCCGCTGAATTCATTTTAAGAAAATTACAAAGTTATCTTACATTTATAAAATACACCTAAAGAAACCGTCGAATGTGAAATTATTCATTTATTCTGTCGATAATAAAAGAGATGGGTATTTAAACACTCTCGCTACCGATACATCTGACTGCTCACACAGATAAGTGAATATTAGCCAAGGTTATATAAAGGTCAATCACAAACCAAGAACACTTAAAATTACACAAGACGTTAAAAGATACAAAAAATACATACCAAGGTCTGTTATCTTTGTCCTTGTTATTGGGGTAGTGCACGTTGTATATGTCATAAAATTTACTTCCCAAGCAGCAAATCGAAGCTGTCTTCCAAATGCGTGTCTCATACAGGGTAGCTAACCGGGAAATGTCACAGTGAATGCAAACTCACGTTAATTTGCACCAGCTTGGAATGAGGGGAACCTCAGATTACCGTAAGGCTACTCCAAACTTGGAACATGAAATATGACATATGAAAGCAGCCATCCGTGATATGTTTAAATGTAAAATCATACTAAATCGATTGAATAAATACGAAGCAATTAGAAATATTGCAGCAACATATTTTGACTAAGTAAAGTTTAAAATGACCTACCAAGTGTATAAAACTTCATCAATCTATTTTCTATATTTACCTGTATGTACAATTGATTGTCAATATGCTGTCCTTATTAGGTTACACATCCAACATGACAGCTGACGCAGTTTTAAAGGAAACAGTTGGTAAAAGGTGGTAGATTAGGGATACTCGTGATCTTCCTCAATTACAATTGAATTTCCATAAAACGTAATGCTTTCTTTATTAGCATATAAACCTGTTTATACCTTAAAAAAAACATTTTGGGTATATCACTAGGCTATTTATCAAGTTAGAATAAATTGGATCATCATCATTATAGCATGCAAAAAGTTATCGAATGCTATAAAAAGTCAAGGTGATATTTTCCTTTGAAACTATATATATCCAGCCATTTTTCCAGGCTATTGAATCAATTTTCTATAAAAAATCTTTTTCTCATAGAAACTCATAGATTTAAATGAGGAATACTAGTAAATGCAATGGAACAGACTGTATTTATTTACATCATGGATAATATACATTTATTGCATGATAGTGAGGGAAATATGAAGACTTATTCAGCCAAGAAAAATCATATTCCCCGGGGGCTTCGCCAGAGGGGAATATGATTTTTCTTGGCTGAATAAGTCTTATTCAGCCAAGAAAAATCATATTCCCCGAGGGCTTCGCCCGAGGGGAATATGATTTTTCTTGGCTGAATAAGTCTTCATGTTTCCCGAACATTCATGCAATGAATTGTTTATTATACCGAAACTAGCAAAACCTTTGAAATAAACATAAACTTTCAAATTCGGCACCGCTCTCAAATTCACTTTCATTGTTAACGTAAAATTACTATAAAACCCTTTTGTCAACACATTGTCATCAGTTTTGTGACGTAAACAAGGCTATTGTTACGTCTACTACTCTCGGGAGTTTTCGTTCAACGAACGAGAACTATATTGCGGAAAAATTCACTAGGTGTTCCAAAGAGGTGGAATATGATGAAAAGCGTGCCAACGACGGGAAATATGAAGTTTTACGGCCCGATCACGTGATAACTTAGAACCAATCAGATAACGCGTTGTGTAAAATATTTATAATGAGGTATAATAATGTTTCAAATCAGACACATAAAGTCATTATATTCATAAAACAATATCTCTCTAAACTTCTAAGAATGATCAACAGAACATCATTAACTGTGCAAATCTACTACTCACTATTTTGAGCAAGTGGATATGCACAATTCGTTAAATACTGAAAGGATGTAATGACTTGATAATTTTACAATTAAATGTCACTCTGATATTATATATTTTTTCTGACAAGATAAACTTTATGCCATTCACAGGATCTCTCTGATGAGCAATACAAAGATAGTCATAATAAAGACCAGAGGCTGCAATTTTGTTGTAAATTGGGATAAGCTATTTTCAACTACAAGATTTTTCAATGAAGAAGCATTTCTACTCATTACAATTGCATAATTGTCATTGTCAATAACAAACACAGCACTGAAGCTGTGTTTCATCATCATCCCTCTGGAAAACTTAAGATGAAGCACAAGTCATTGTAGAAGTATGGAATCTGCTTGGGCAACATGGTGATCATAATGAGCTTTACATAAAGTTTTCAATAGGTCCACTTGTTTGTTAGATCCTCTGTTGGGAACTGCTTCTCTGAATAGAGGTAACGTGTCTATAAACATAATAATACAGTCATGGGCTCTTAGTCTTGCCTCATGCATTGCAAGGATTATAACAAATTTTGAAATAAATGTTTTTATCTTTAAGCTAATAAATAGTATATAATAAAAACAACTTCTAAAAATTTAGAAAATTAAAGCGTTCAATATCTTAGTGTTTTATTGAACGCTTTATGAGTATGCCCCGAAGGATTCCGAATACGAACGTTCAATATCGACGCCCGTTGTAAACAATAAATGTCGTCTTGTCAACCTCTTGGAGGTAGTTATACGATAGATAGTGGATTCTAAGTAAAATGTGTTTAATTTTATGCAAAATTAAAATGAATGATTCATAAATAATTAAGTACGTATTAGCCTCAAAAGCACATCATAATGGAAAACTTTGATATACTATATTTAGTAAACACTTTGACATTATTATGACACTATAGTGATAACTTTAAAAACTTTCATTTACCATGGGTATTACTATAAAAACTTTGATTTACTATCTTAATCCGTTTTTTTACTATAGTGACAACTTTGAAAACTTTGATTTATTATAGCGATAACTATGATACATGTTCTATAGTGATATCTTTGATTTACTATACTGAATACTTTGACACTATTGTGAACTCTTCTTTTGTACCATGGACTGTTTCTCACGTCAGAGTTACAAAGGTCTTTCAGATACTTCTGTTTTGTATTAATCTGTTCAACATAGATCCAATTCGCTTGTCCGATTGCACACAGTGTCAGTACAGAATGTCTATTGTCATATATCATATTAACTATGACATGTTATATTGTAGATAGCCATGCCTCTCTATGTATCTGTATACACACACTCTCTTTTCCCCATACGACAATCCAACCCAGAGAAAGTGGGTTTTGTCGTCAAAACTCAGGTCCATTGGTCCGTTTATCCCTTCGTATGCTGTCAGGATATGTGACAGGAAGTGACCGTCCCTGTCAAGCATATGTATTGAGTTAGTGTTACTGTCACACACCAGGATGTGTGACAGCGCGTCAGTACAGATTCCGTATGGTAATATTTGTGATCCTGATGTAGGGCCTGTGTAGGAGAAGCGGTGTCTTCCTCTTCTGTCTGTCACCACTACAGGGACTAAGTCAGACACAATATCGTCTCCATCCCGGTTCTCTGTGGTGTACATAGGATGAGAGTACAGTTCCTGGCCTGTGGTGCCATGCTGTATTGTCTGTTTGAGTTGTCCTATGTCATTAAAGCGTGCTACTATACCTGAATTGTTGGAGCTCATCCCGACCAGCAAATCGCTGTTGAGGTGGGAGGAGTAGATACACTGTGGTACCCATTGTTCTGTTTTCTTTATCAGTGTAGACTTAAATCTGTTATCTTTAGAGAGTTTGATAACATTATCACTCCTGTCTATGTATATAAGATCACCAGTAAGATCCACTGTGTGTTGTCCCCACACGCTAATTACATTTGTCAGATGATGTAGTATGTCCCCCTCTGAGTTTATCAAGATAAGAGTTTTACCATTGCAGATCCAGACCTGGTCTTTTGTCACACCGGAAATATGATAAATTTCCTCTGGCACAGTAACAGTCCTGTGTAATACCGGTGTAGATATCTCTTTAAGCAGGCATTCATTTCTAACTTGTCTTTTTCCTGTCTCTATTATTTGGATTTCACCCAGTAAATCAGTCACAGCCTCTACGTTGATTTCTTCAATCAGACAGACCAGGGCGTATTATGTGAGACTAAGAGTGTCCTTTAACTTGTGTACACGAGTTCTCTCTAGGAATATAAGGAATTTTAGCGGTCTGTTTCCCAAATGGTCAGGTCTGTGTTCTAAGATTTCTATGCTGACAAGATGTCTGGTTATTTTTTTCCTCTGTTGTTGTAAATTTTGAATAAATCGTTTGTGTCTTATTTTAATATCACACAAGACAGTGTCTATGAGGTTCCTTAGTTTCTGGGCTTTTATTAACATCTTTGACTGATTGTTGGATATTTCGGTGTGACAAGTTTTCATATCAGATCTGATTCCTGCAAGAACACAACAGCTGTTATAGAGAGTCTCATTTCTGATGCTGTGATAGGTTTCTTTATGTCGTTGTTTATTTGTTTTATATGCTTCTCTTATATCCAGTGCATCGTGCTTTCTGTGTTCTTTACATTGGAAACAGACAGGCAAATTACATGAGTGATAGAACATTTCATAGATTTTTTTTGGATGTCTCGCACAGATCTCTTGTTTTGGGATGTATTTAAATTTCTCACGGTAAATCACAACATCGTGGTGTTTGATGTGTAGATCAATAGCATGTCTCTCTTTACACTGTAGACACAAGTCATGTTTACACGTGTTACAGTAGAATTATGTGTCCCCCTGACACTGGGAACACTCCCGGACTTTACACTGGTTGCTGAATCTTGTACCCATGATCTTGAAGACAAAGTCCCTTGTTTTGAGATGTAGTTATATTTTTCAAAGGAAATCACAACATCGTGGTATATGGATTCGAGATCTATAACATGTCTCTCTTTACATTGGGAACACTGCCGTAATCTACACAGGATGTGTATCCTAGGCTGTCCATGATTTAGTAGTTATGTTCACAATTTGCTGAAACTAAATCAAATTACAGTGTTGTACAAAAACACAATATATCTTATTACAGTGTACTAGATCAGAAAGCATATAAAAGTTTAAAAAGAAAAAGATGAACTTAACAACAAAACTTCATTTGCGCAAATTATGAACTAGATGCTGTCATGAGACAGTAATACCCGCACTAAGGTGTTTGCCTCTAAATACACAATCCTACGGGCGGCTTACCAAGGAAAAAGTCAAAATAATTCTATATAATTCAGGCACGTAGCATCGTTTTTGAAAGTGGGGGGGGGGGGGGGCAACCTGAGAAATTTTTTTTACTAACCTAAAAAAATTAACAAGAAAAAAAAAATGAAATGGGGGTGGGTGGTGGGGGGGGGTGGTGGCCACTTTTTTTTCAAGGCAAAATTACTTTCACTTCCAATTTTCCCCATATTTCCTTGCAATGTATATACTGTGGTTAAAA